CGAGAACGCCCTCAACCGTGTCTCCCACATCTCCCGCACCTCATCCCTCACACCCCGTCCACGCAATAAAAACCAAAAAAGAATCCCCCTCGTCCTCACGTACCACCCCACCAACCTCCGGATCCAACGCATCATCCTCCGACACTTCTGCCATCTGCAATCCGACCCCACCACCAAAGACATCTTTCCCTCCCCACCTTTATCTGCTTTCCGGAGGGACAACTCTCTCCGTGACTCCCTTGTCCGCTCCACACTCCCCTCCAGCTCCACCACACCCGGCACTTTTCCCTGCAACCGCAGGAAGTGCTACACCTGCCCCCATACCTCCTCCCTCACCCCCATCCCAGGCCCCAAGAAGACTTTCCACATCAAGCAGATGTTCACCTGCACATCTGCCAATGTGGTATACTGCATCCGCTGTACCCGGTGTGGCTTCCTCTACATCGGGGAAACCAAGCGGAGACTCGGGGACCGCTTTGCAGAACACTTACGCTCGGTTCGCAACAAACAACTGCACCTCCCAGTCGCGAACCATTTCAACTCCCCCTCCCATTCCTCAGACGACATGTCCATCCTGGGCCTCCTGCAGTGCCACAACGATGCCACCCGAAGGTTGCAGGAACAGCAACTCATATTCCGCTTGGGAACCCTGCAGCCCAATGGTATCAATGTGGATTTCACAAGTTTCAAAATCTCCCCTCCCCCCACCGCATCCCAAAACCAGTCCAGCTCGTCCCTGCCTCCCTAACCTGTTCTTCCTCCCACCTATCCCCTCCCCCCACCTCAAGCCGCACCTCCATCTCCTACCGACCAACCTCATCCCGCCCCCTTGACCTGTCCGTCCTCCCTGGACTGACCTATCCTCTTCCTAACTCCCTACCTACACTCACCTTTCCTGGCTCCATCCCCGCCCCTTCGACCTGTTTGTTTCCTCTCCACCTATCCTCTCCTCTATCCCTCTTCTATCCGCCTCCCACTCTCTCCCTATTTATTTCAAAACCCCCTTCCCCTCCCCCTTTTCTGATGAAGGGTCTAGGCCCGAAACGTCAGCCTCTCTGCTCCTATGATGCTGTTGCCATGTATATACTAAATCGGTGAAGGTGAACTTGTGGTAGACAGCAGCTGATAACTCCCTGGAGGATATTTCAACTAACATATCAAGGAAAGGGAGTTTTATTTCAAATGACATGGAATAAATAAAGATAAATCAATTCCACTGGCTGAAAGCTCAGTAATACAGGATTTGAAATAATTAACAAAAGAGCGATTGGTGAGTGGTGGTTTTTAAGCAAAGCAAGGTTCAATGATCCTGAATACACTATTTGAAAAGGATAGCGAAAGCAGGTTAATTCTAACTTTAAAAAGAAAAAGCATCTAGATGAAGGAATGAAAATTGCATTTTTTGTAAAACTGTAGAGGAAGTGGAACTGAATTCATATACCTCTTCAAGAGCTGGCAAAAAAAAAACGAGATAGGTCAAAATGCCCTCTTCTGTGCAACAGGATTCTTTGAACAGTATGCTAAGCAGATATACACAAGACGTTCCCAGAGGTCTTTAACTCTGACCTTTTCTAAAGCTTCAGGACTTGTACAATTATGTTAGTTTGTTTGACCTGAAGCCAAATTGAAAACTAACAATTTATGAAGTCTGAACTGTGATTACCCAAGTCTGCAGCTTATGGTCATCAGATGGAAACAAGAAAATACATATCATTAAAAATCACAGTATCAATCAATCAATAAGATTGATTTCCAAACTACTACACTTATGTTTATTTATTTCCCGACTATCTATTTTGAAAATATCCTAAGGCACTTTATATAAATAAGCTACCAGCAAGAACAAAGCAGTACACTCCTCATCACTTGTGATGCTACGTGACAGTCATTATGGACAACAGCTTTGGAGGTAGAGGAACATTAACTAATATGTGTGACTGTTACAAACAAATGCCCAAATAAGACCTGCAAAATACGCACACGCAAATTTAACAGAGAACAATAAATGTCAGATCCAATATTCAACAGATTGACCAGCCCTGTGCAGTGAACAAAGGAATTGAGGCTTCTGCTGTAGACTTTGATTAAACAGTTTGATTCAACATCTGAAAGATTAACCAGGTGTGATGTGATGAGCGTTTCCAGCATTTTCTGTTTTTGTTTCAAATCATCAGCCAATTTTTTTTTTAAAAAAAGGGAAGGATGTTTAAATGATCTATCTTACAATAAATACATGAATATCCCCAACAATGCAATTAAATTTCATCTTTAAGCAGCACTATGATAATAAAGACTAAAATATAAATTGTTTTGATGGATTATTTATTTAGGGCAAAAGCAAGAAATCGATGATGGAAAAGTCAATGATGGAAATGGACATTAAATAGCAACTCCATCCACTACCAATTAGTCAGTATTGACAAAGTTGAGATTCATGCAAAACTGTTGCCTGCACGTTTGAATCCTATGCCTTAATGCAATTTAGTGTGAGAGTGAAGGAACTAGTTCACAAGCTATTAACATAAGTGCTCTGTAAATATAATCTGTTTTACTCAAGTGAGGGGCATCAACCACAAAATGGACTTCAAGCTCAAATATATACTCCTCTCTCACCCAATCTCCAAATTCTGTGGTAATATAAATCTTTCATGCAGAATTTAACTTGAAGGGAATTACTTAACATTACACCACAATCCTTCACGATGTGAAGTATCACACAGGTGCAAAACTGTACCAATATTTTCTGGAGGTTTCAGTACAAAACAAAACATCAAGTTATAGTGAAAGCTGAAGACTGAATGCCTACCATAAACAGCAAAAAATCTTCTCAGCAGGGAAAACAGTTAATAAATTAGTTTTATAAATGACTAGGCACAAATGCTTCATAGACACGGAAGCAGAATTTACCTTAAGAATCTTGACATTTCCTCACGTGCCCTAGAGCCTCAATTTTTCTAAAATTCTTTCACAGAAAGTGGGTCTATGCAACGGTGGAGGGTAAAAATGAACACTAGCATCAATCCAAATCCACCTTACAACCAATGAATGTTGACAGAAATGAACTTAAATCAATGCAGCAGCAATTAAAAATTTTAACCACACTTGTAGAAACAGTAAATAGAAAAATACATACCAGTGTTAAACGTTTTAGTCCCTGTGGTTTTAATGTGTCCTTTTGATCCAGGAACTGAGAAATAGAATTCAAAAGCAGAAATAACATTTAATTGAAATTGACATATGTATTTATGCAATTACACTTTCTGCACTTGGGAAAAGAACTAACAGTTCTGGAGTTACGTGCATCAATACAAGGAAAATATTATCTATGTTTCATCTCATTCTCCTGCTGTACTTTTTCATCCTGAAAGTCATGCTTTAAAGATCAATTGGAGGTTAGCTATATTGCATTGTACCATCACATTAAATGTTTTCACCTACACCATCCTCTGCTTACAAAGTGCATGTAGCATTTTAATGCTGTTCCTTACTGTTATTAGGAAAAAGCACTTACACAGGATTACATGAGATCTATTGCATAGCAACAGGCCATGCAGCCCACTAAGTCCATATCAGTGTTTATGCTCCACATGATAACAGAAACGCATGTTCAAATCCTGGTCCAAAAATATTTTCAAGATTGTTTCTTTTCCTTAAACATTGTATTAAAAGTAAATCTAAATTCTGGACAACCATTTGCAGCCCCTGTTCTATAGAAGGAATCTAACCAGCTCATACGAAAGTTGAGAAATGTTTGGAATTGGCTACAAGAAAGGTTGATAAGTTCAGTACCTGTAAGTACGAGTTGGACAAACGCCTGTTTGCCTTGAAGAAAGAAAGATCATTGGAGAGATAAGAGTTGTGAATTGTACAGCTATTCAACTCCAACAGTGAATAGATTTATCTAAATGCTTCCTTCCAGTTGTTACATACTACCTTTGGATGGCACAAAGTCCCTTCAACATGTGCATTGAAAAGCGTGATCTCACATGGGTTGACAAAGTGTTTTTGAAAGGCAGACTGAAACACAAGTATAGGAATTCAACTGCAAATAAATAATAGAAGAAGCTGAAAATACATGGGTGGTCAGGCACTATACGAGATGAACAGATTCGAGGTAGATGATCTTTTATCAGAATGATCCATATATTTCCAGTATTTTCTATCTTTATTCAAGATTTCAAGAATCCAGTTTTCTGTTCTCAGCTCACTCGCATACTAACTTATCACTCCCTGTTTGGGCAATTTCCTCCAGCTCCACAACATTCTCAAAATGATCTGCACCTAATTAATTATGGCCTCTTGAACATACCAGCTTAAACTGCAATTTCCCCCATCCAACGGCACTTTTGTTGCCTAGGTCCAAAGCTCCAGAATTCCATCTCTACCTTGGCTTCTCTACTTCACTTTGCTTTCCTTCAAGACAGGCCTTAAAAACATACCTTTGGCCAATCCCTTGGTCATCAAACCCATAATTGTTGTGTACTTTGGTGTCAAGTTTTGTTGTCATGAAGTCAATTGGACAATTTATTACATTTCATGCACTATAGAAATCACAGTTGTCACTGCTGTTCTTCTACACAAGTTCAATATATTTATAAAAGTCAGCAAACTCTATAAGTGAGTAACAAACCTGAGGAAACAAGTCCACTATGTCTTACTCAGACTATTTCAGGCTCTAAAATTTGATCTGACAACAGGTCAATTTTTTGAAGATCAGTTTGATAGGTTTTTTTTTCCTTTATTCGTTCACAGGATGAGGGTATTGCTGGCTAGGCAGCATTTATTGCCAATCCCTACTTGCTCAGAGGGCAGTTAAGAGTCAACCACATTGCTGTGGGTCTGGAGTCACACGTAGACCTGACGGCAGATTTCCTTCCCTAAAGGATATTAGTGAACCAGATGGGTTTTCCCCCCGACAATCCACAATGGTCTAATGGTCATCATTAGACTCAAGTCCAGATATTTATTGGATACAAATTCCACCATTTGCGTGGTGGGATTTGAACTTGGGTGCCCAGAACATCATCTAGGTCTCTGGGTTAACAGCCCAGTGATAATACCACTAGACCATTGCCTCCCCTGATTGCCAAATGTACCACCTTTAATGAGAACTCACTCCTTCATCACTGAGAAAGCTAAGCCAACTATGTCTTCTGTTAGACCCCTCCAGGGCACCTATGGCTGAAAACTGTTCAAACACCAAGTGCAAAAATAGATTAAGATTGTGTTGGATGACCCAATGTCTCAAAACCACAGATGTAAGCATTCGAAATCCCAAAATAGTTGATTCACCTGACATTTTATCCAATTTTTCCTAAACAGTACCACCTGATTGATCATCCATGTCTCTCAGAATAACCACCTGAGCTAAAATCAATTTCCTAACAGTTTCATCACACACATCAAAATGGGGAAATTCACAAGATGAAAGACTGGTTCCATAAACTTCCACTTTGGTTGTAGAGTCAGGTTCCCTCTAAATAAAGGGAAAAGTTCAAATAAAAACAGCATGTGTTGGGAGGAACTGCAGAGAGACAAGAGTTGACTTTTCAATTCCTTTTTGTCATTGAAGGGTCACATTGGACTTGAAACATTAACTGTTTTTCCCCCCTCTACAGACATTCCCAGGCCTGCTTAGGCTTTTCCAGCACTTTCTATTTCAGATCTCCAGAGTCCACAGTACTTCACTTTCATTAGAATGAAGTTCAAACTGAACTATAAAGGCAAAACATACTTTAAGATGCTCTGGTGTGATTCCCAAGACCTCATACAGCAAAAGACATTTATAATTTCCAATATTTTCAATTATTCATGGGTGCACTTATGATTAAGGGTTAAAATCAACAGTTAAAGAAATGTCTCAAATTACACATGGCATACCAAGACACACAAAGTGATGAACTTTGGTTGCCGCGTGCAAGCCAACCACTGAATTTTCAATCTTGGGAAATTACAAACCAAGGTCAAGTTCGAAGCAAGGGGAAATACGAGTCACTGTTAAGTACCTCTAGCTTTCCCACAGTTTTGGTAAAGTAGTTGGTAAAGTACCAATTGACAAATTCAAACAAGTCCATAGCTGGTTAGAAATCTGACAGGAGAAAACGGGAATTTGGCCAGATCATAGAAACATGCAAATGATCACAACACTACCAATGACAGTTTAAGCATCAGGTACGTCAAGGCAGGTGTTAAAACAGTACAGGATAAGGATACAAGGGGTAGAATTTCTGAAGCAGATTCTTTCAAATTTAAAGAACTTTATCAGGACACAAGATCAAATAGCACAGGAACCATGCAAAGACTAAATGGTCTACTGAATGGATCCACCAAATGTGGTTTTTAAGCACAATGACTATGATCCATGTTCCAGTTGAGTACCAAGTTTACTGCCAAGGTGTTTCTTTTAAAATACGATTATCAAACTTGATCTTCTATCTTCCCAAATTTTAAGTTGACATCTGTAAACTATCAGGCTCAACCCACAAGATATTTAATGCTTCAGGGCCTTAACATTCAACTGAAAAGTTTTCCGCTGAAGATAAATCCCCAGAGGGATTTAATGAATCAGAAAGAGACATCTTTGGCACATTGGGTCTGCTCCACCATTCAACGGAAACATGACTGGATCTGATAATTCTTAACTCCACGTTGCTGTGCTATCCCCAAACCCTGGACTTCCTTGCTGAGTAAAAGAATCAGTCTACCTTTACCTTGAATGTAGTTAATGACACAGCCTTTACAGCTCTCTGCAGGAAAGAATTCCATAGATTGACTTCCCTCAAGAAATTCATCTGCATTTCTGTCCTAAATGGGTGATCCCTTATTGAGATTAGGCCAAATAGTCCTAAACTCTCAAGTGAAGCAAGCTTGCTACATCTACCCTGTCAAGCCCCTTAAGAATCTTGTATGTTTCAAAAAGGTTGCCTCTTATTCTTTTATATACCAATGAGTACGGGCCCAATCAATTCAACTTCTCGTCATAAGACAGTCCCTCCATACCTGATATCAGCCTAGTGAACCTTCTCTGGACTGCTTCTGATGCCAGCATCATTCCTGAGGCAAGAGACAGATTTAAGGGGGAGGTGATGGCCAAGTGCACTATTAAGCCAGAAACACAGTTAATGCTCTGTGGATCTGGGTGCGAATCCAACCACATCTGATAGTACAATTTGAATTCAATAAATATCTAGAATTAAGAACCTAATAATGACCATGAAATCACTGTTGGTTGTGGGGAAAAACCCATGTGGTTCACTAATGTTCTTCAGGGAAGGAATTCATGCTGATGGCAGATTCAGTTGGTTTGCAGGTGCAGCAGGTAATTAAGATGACAAATGAAATATTGTCCTTCATTGCTAGAGGGATGGATTTAAAAATAGAGAGGTTATGCTGCAGCTGTACAGGGTGCTGGTGAGACCACACCTGGAGTACTGTGTACAGCTTTGGTCTCCTTACGCGAGAATGGATGCACTGCCACTGGAGAGGATGCACAGGAGGTTTACTAAGTTGAATGTGGAGTTGAGAGTTGGCTTATGAGAAGTGATTGATAGACTGTGACTATACTCAATGGAATTTAGAAGAGTGGGGCAGGGGGGTGCAGAATCTTACATAAACATATAAAATTATGAAGGGAATAGATAAGATAGAAGCAGGGAGATTGTTTCCACTGGTGGGTGGAACTAGGGGGCATAGCCTCAAAATGAAGGGGAGCAGATTTAGTACTGAGACGAGGAGGAACTTCTTCACCCAAATGGCTGTGAATCTGTGGAATTCCCTGCCCAATGAAGCAGCTGAGACTGCCTCATTGAATGTTTTTAAGGCCAAGATAGATAGATTTGTCAACAGTAACGAAACTAAGGGTTATGATGAGCGGGCAGGTAAGTGGAGTGGAGCCCACGAGAAGATCAACCATAATCATACTGAATGGCAGAGCAAGCTTGACAGGCCAGATGGCCCACTCCTGCTCCTATTTCTTATGTATCCTCATCTGGTCTAGCTTACATGTGACTCCAGATCAAAGCAATCTGGTTGATTTTCAACAACCCACTAATGTCCTGTCCCACTGGTGGGACAGACCCAGCAAAGGTAGTGGCACTGTGGTATACAGTCAAAGGGGTTGCCATGGGAGTCCTCAACATTGGCTCTGGACCCCATGAACTCTCACGGCATCAGGTCAAACATGGGCAAGGAAACTTCCTGTTGATCATCACGTACTGTTCCCCCTCAGCTGATGAATCCATACTCCTCCATGTTGAGCACCACTTCAAGGGAGCGCTGAGGACGGGAAGGGTTCAGGGTACTTTGGGTAGGGGATTCCAAAGTCCACCACCAAAAGTCTCTCATCAAGTTTGTCATAAAGAACATATTGGCTGCTCAACTGGATCTGCATCAGGCAGTTAGAGAATCCAGGAAAACATACGATTTTGTCCACACTAATCTACCTGCTGCCGATGCATCTGTCCATGACAGTGTCAGTAAGAATGACCACCACCACAGTCCTTATGGAAGCAAAGTCCCACCTTCACATTGAGAATACTCTCCATTGTGTTGTGTGGCGTGCTGTGGCATGGTGCGCTGCCATCACTTATAGACTTTGAACATAGCTAGCAAGTCAAGACTGGGCATGCATGAGGTTGTGTGGGCCATCAACAGGAGCAGAAATGTACTCCAACCATATGGCCAGCATTCTACTATCACTACTGAGCCAGGGGATCAGCCCTAGCTCAATGAAGTGTGTAGGACAGCATGCCTAGAAATGATTGACCAATCTGGAGATGCTATCAAACAGGACTACTCGCATGCCAAACAGCATAAGCAGCAAGTGTCAGACAGAGCAAAGCGATCCCACAGCCAACAGATCAGCTCCAAGCTCTGCAGTCCTGTCACATCCAGTCATGAATGATTGTGGACAATTAAACAACTCACTGGAGGAAAGGACTCAACATAGACAAATCTAGCACATAGTGCACAATACAAGGCATAAGCATTCTTAGCAGTCTTCAGTTAGAAGTGCCAAGTGGATGATCCATCTCTGCCTCCTCCAGTGGTCCCCAGCAGAGATGCCAGTCTTCTGCCCATTTATTTCACTCCACATGATATCAAGAAACGAGTGGAAGCAAATGTGGAGTGATGATATGCTGGCAGCAGTACTGAAGAAGTACTCCTGAACTTCTTGTAATCACAGTCAAGTTTTTACAGTACAGCTACAACATTGGCATCCACCTGACAATGTGAAGAAATGCCCTGGTTTGTCCTGTATATATAAAGCAGGGCAAATCCAACATGGCCAATTACCACCTCATCAGTCTACACAGTAAAGTGATGGAAGGTGTCATCAACAGCGCTTTCAAGCAGCACTTGGTTTGCAACAACCTGCTCACTGATGCCCAGTTTAGGTTCTGCCACGGCCACTCAACACCTGACCTCACTACAGCTTGGTTCAAACATGGATAAAAGAGCTGAACTCGAGTTGTGGTGAGAGTGACAGCTCTTGACATCAAGGCCACATTCGATCAAGTGTGGGGGTCTCAAGGAATCCTAGCAAAACTGGAATCAATGAGTATCGGGGAAAACTCTTCACTGGTTGGAGTCACATGTGGCACTTGAAAAACACCTGTATTTGTTGGAGATCAGTCATCACAGCTCCAGGGCACTTCTGCAGAAGTTCCTCATATTATCGTCCAAGACCCAACCATCTTCAACTCAATGAACTTCCCTCCATCATAAAGTAAGAAGTAGGGACATCTGCCAATGATTGGTGCTGAACATTGCACATTTATGACTCCTCAGATACTGAAGCAGTCCACGTTCAAATGCAACAAGAGCTGGACAATGCCCAGCCTTGGGTTGAAAAATGGCAATGAACATTTGCACTACACAAATGCCAGCCAATGACCATGTGTAATAAGAGACAAACTAACCACTGCCCCATGATATTCAATGGTGTTACCACCATTGAATCTCTCACTAACAACATCCTGGGGGTTACCATTGACCGGAAACTCAACTGGACTCATCACATAAATACAGTGGCTGCAAGAACAGGTCAGAGGCTAGGAATACTACAGTGGGCAAGTCACTATTTGACTCCCCAAAGCCCGTCAACCATCCACCACACGTCAGGAATGTAATGTAATATTTCTCACTTGCCTGGATGCGTGCAGCTCCAAGAGCACTCAAGAAGCTTGACACCATCCAGGACAAAGCAGCCCACTTGATTGGCACCTCATTCACAAGCATCAACTCCCTCCACCACTGACATTCAGTAGCAGTAGTGTGTTCTAACTACAAGATATACTGCAGGAATTCACCACAGATCCTTCAACAGCACCTTCTAAACTCATGACCATTTCCATTGAGAAGGACAAGGACAGCAGATACATGGGAACACACCTGAAAGATCCCCTCCAAGCCACTTGCCATCCTGACTTGGAAATATGTCACCATTCTTTCACTGTCCCTGGGTCAAAATCTTGGAATTCCCTCCCTAATGGCATTGTGGATCTCCCTACAGCACGTGGACGGTAGCAAGGCAGCTCATTACAACTGTCTCAAGGTTAACTAGGGATGGGCAATAAATTCTAGCCCAGTCATCAATTCCCATGTCCCACGGGTGAATAAAACAAAGGCCAAAACTGTTCAGAGTATTCTGGTCATGGTCTAAATAGTACCTAATAGTTTTAGAAAGGCCTTTTTCTAAATTAAAAACCCTATTACCTTTAAAATAAATGCCAACTGTTCATTTGTCTACTGTATTATGTGCTGAATTTGGATGCTAGTTTTTTATGATTCATACATGAAGACCCCCAAGTCTCTCTTTGTTGTGGTTCTCTGCAGTTGTTTTCCTTATAAATCGTATTCAGCTCTATTATTCTTCCTGCCAAACTGCATAACCTAAGATCTGTTCCATCTGCCAAGTTTTACCCACTCATTTCATCTTTCTCATGCATGGGATGCATGCAGAGACACAATAAAGTAATATATATTCAGGAATTTACTGGCCTGGATCTTCCAATCTTAAGCATTCAAAAAATAAAACACATTTGACATCTGCAGGTGTTCTTTTTGTGAATTTCTAGGCCAGGAGCATTCCCAGATGAATCTGTCTAATCCAGGCCAGGAATCCACTAAGTGGGTTGGTGTTGAAAAAACATTTACTGCTCCCTCAACCCACCATCTGTACCAGGTGCATAACATTATATATTTGCCTCTTTGCAATCCACAGTAAAAGTACAATGTTGGAGACTCAGGACCAGACTTGAGTTTGTGCCGATCTGAATGGCTCAGATTCTCAAATTCTCTGATCCATCTGTAGTGTCTTGATCAATGGATTTGCTGATGCTACAACAGTCTAGTAAAACGCAGTGCACAGTTTTAAAGCAGTTAGCATTTCAGATAATAGCCTACACAACAGACAAGTCAACTGTGAGCTTCTAATTCAAATATTCGATGGAAAGAATTGTGATGCTGCAATGTTGTCAAGGATTTTGATTTACCAAATCATATTTACATGTGATGAATACTAATGACCAAAATAATTCAAGTATGCATCTGTCAGCAAAATTATAAAGGAAATGATCCAACGATCACCATAAAGTGCTGTAATGCTTGGATTTATGGAAGCCCTTCTTATGAGAAGCCCTGGACTTCATTTTTTGTCTGTTCAGAGATAAACACGCACGCTCCAGTCACTGTCTTCAAAGAGCTAAAGCTGGGGTTGGCAGAACAATGAAGCATTTATTGCAAGGAATTTGCCATTCAAATGTTTCATTTTGCTTCAGACACAGTACCATTTTTACTCTCAGTTGAAAGAGGACAAGTTTTCTTTTCCCCTTTCAAAGTACCCAGTAGCAAACTTTTGTCACTTGCCGATAAACCAGTAGCATACCATGAGCACTTTCAGTCAACATTCTGACAGCAAGACAATTCTTGCAAAATGTTACCACTCATGGTACTCCATAATGTTGTAAGCGGGCTACTACATTGTGTTAAGGGCATTTACCCACTAACGCTCATCATGGGGTTCATAATGTCGTCCCAAAAAACTGGCATCACCAGCTGAAGTGGTGCTGGCATAGACAATGCAAATTCTTGTCATCAAATCTAGGCTGAAGTGGATTTTTAATTTTGCTACTGGGATACAGTTAATGTGAAGTCCTGAACCATGTAAAATCAACTTGTAATATTTTAAGGAATGCCAGCATGTCGCAGTAGTGTTCTTCATTTTTGGTGACAGGTCAAGTACCAAGCACACCACTTTTGAACCAGAACTTTGTGGACTTAAAGTTATAGTCCAGAAGGGAAAGTTGAATCATCCACCCTTATTCCATATTCAGAGTGAGAACAATGGTGCATTTTAAAACAAGTGCTCAATAAAAAGTAGCACTTGTTTGCAGAAAATGGTTTTTTTCAAACCAGAGCCTGCTGTCTTATTTACACCAGCGACTTTGCATATTACGCTGACCCAACAGCATCTTGGGCAGAACTGGGCAGCAAAAGAAAAGACTCCTGTTTCCCAGTTCCAAAAATGATGGTGATTAAAGTACAAAAGAAAACTAAAATAACTTATTGAAATAGAAACAAAAAGTGAAAAGAGAACTGGACAAAAACATTGAAGTGTTTAAGAATGATGAAAAAATGAAATGGTGGCATTGGGAAGAGAAGACAGACAAATTGTTTCTTTTATCTTCTTCAAAACCATTAGACTTCATTTCAAATACTTTTGTTGTGGTTTTGCAAAAACTGTAGTAGTCTGAAGTCTCAAGTAGTCAGAGCAATTGGCAAACAAGGCTTCAAAGTAAAAATACTCAAAGCTTCGCACCCCCAGAATGATGCACAAGTCAAACAAAAAATGTTTTGACTCATTCAGCCTGTCAATGTGCCTATATGCACATGTGCCAATCCTTGTTGGTGACAAATCACATTGCAATGGCACAAGACTGGGATGAAGCACAAAAACCGAGCTCAAAGCTCACCTTGTGGAAAAGATGCAAACTGAAACACAAGTGTTCAGTTATTCCCTTGGGCCACAAATTATTTTATGGTAAACTATTTTAAGGTTTACAACTCATAGGAAACTTGTTCAAGTCAGTGCATGATTCAGTTTAAATAAAATTTAAGTGTCAGACTTTCTACAGCCTCCGTAATGATAACAAGATCCTAAATGAATCTTGTAATACTTACCATTTTTAAAGCTTTCCTCATTCTGTCATATGAAGTTCGGGAGGAACCATCGAGGAAATTAAACAGAAAAAAAAGTTAGGATTGCTTCTGTTGGGATATAAAACTGAAAGATTTCATTAACAATGATATTTTGCAGAGTTAGTTTTCCCCGGAAGGTCATCTTTTCATTTGTTTTATTCAAGAAAAGGAACTTGTCCGGGTACATTCTGCAAAAAATTCACTTGAGCTCTTTCATATTTTTCTGACTACTGCAGAAAAAAAACCACACGATTAATTGAAAAACGTCCAAAGAAATAGCTTTTGTATATTATAAAGTTGATTTAGTAAAATTACATCATTAGTAATTTTACTATACTCAGAAACACATTTAAAACACACTTAAGATTCTGAGATTCTTTGATCACATGTTGTTGAATATCTGAATACTGTAAGACGTCCTTACATTGAGGCTTAAAGCAGTCTAACGCTAATGACCAGTAACTTTATTCAAAACACATTTGTTGGGCAAATGTTATTTTCCGCCCTCTTTGTTAAAAATGCCTTGCAACTTCTACTTACTTGGTGTACCAGAGCCTGTGTATTCCAAGTCTCTACTTTTTGAGGCACTAAGTGTCATGAATGAAATGTCCTCAGAATCAAGTCCTTTCCTGTGCAAACGTACAAAAAGATGTTTGTATACCAGTTATCAGTATGACAAACATCAAATGTCTCACTGGACATCTGAAAAAAGTTTGGTAGGACTCTTGAGCTTGGAATCAAGAGGCTGAAACTTTTTTTTGGAAAAAAAAAAGTTATTACAAGCTCTGGATACAAAGTGTATTATCCACTTTCCCTTACTGAATTGCTTGGTTTGTGTAATTTCTTTCAGTTCAACAACAGCTGGTAAAACCAGAACTAGGTGGTCACGTCATAGGTTACAACTAAATAATAAGTTTTCCCATCAAATTCAGTGATTGATTAGTCAAAATGTTTGAAGGGAATATATAAAGATTGGCTAACAGCTTCGCCTATCTTCAAAAGGATGGGTCTTTTTTTCAAACCTCATTCATTTTGACTGTTGAGCAACTGGACAGATCACACTCTCGAGGGCAGTACTAATCATTGCTACTTCTTTTCGAACAGTCAGGTTCTTAGTAACTCATGCACTTTTGTTAAATGTCTACAAAGGCAGGCAAGGTTAAAGGGCAAAAACAAAATTGAAATCAAGCAATGACTTTAGTTTTAGACTAAAAGCAGATGCACTTTGAAATTATAGTAAAATATTCTCAAGCAATACTGTAAAATCATAGATAGTAGGAACTGCAGATGCTGGAGAATCCGAGACAACAAGGTGCAGGGCTGGATGAACACAGCAGGCCAAGCAGCATCATGCTGCTTGGCCTGC